TGTGCTGCTTCATGACGTGGAGGAGCTCAGAGTTTTCCTCACACTTCCTGTCTCTGTCTAGTCTCACTCGTCACTGCAGACGATGATCACAAAACTGAACTGTCTCCATAATTTGTCGTCAAATATGCAAGAACCTCCCGTCAGACGTCAGATGAGGCGACATAGTGGTGTTGCACGAGAAAAGTGTGACGTTTTAGACTGTTGTCTGTTTTAAAAAGGACTGCTTCAGACAGAAGGGAGGAGAATAAACCATGAAGACATGCAGTTAGTCAGACCAGTGAACAGAGAACAGACTCACATCACATGCTAGTATTCAGCATAAACAGACGTGGGAGGTTAAATCAATAACCGATAACAAAGAGATGAGCGGTGGGAGGGTGCTGTGGCTCCTCTGAGGTCTTCTACAATCACACCTGCTGCTGTTAAAGGTTCAACAAACTGCTTCTCAGCGTCACTAAAACGCGTCTGAGGCAGAATTTTCTTCACAAAAAACAAAAAACCCAACAAAACCGGCGGCGGGAGCTCACCATGGCGATGAAGCGTCCGATGAAGCGGAAGTAGGTGAGGTGGTCGGGGTTGATGGAGGACGCCGGGTTGATCTGCAGACAGTAGTTGTTCTTGCCGGCGTACTCGAAGAGGCAGTACATGGGGTTGAGGACCTCGTGGGACAGCAGGAAGAACCACTCCCTGCAGAGCGACAGGACACACGGAGCTGCTTCAGCAACCAGGAGCGGCGCTGCTGTTCTTTACATTACAGACGGGCTCAGTTCTAACAGTACAACCCTGTGCTTTGGTCCAGACGCAAAGAAAAGACGACATCTTACAACAAAACAACACAAGTTTAAAACAGTTTGCAGCAACGCAACAACAAAAACCCAAAAACAAAACCGTCTTTCTCTCGTTTTTCTGAGCAGAAGTCGTGTTTTAGTTCCAGATCCAACAGGATTAATCACGTTTGTTATTGAAGCATTTTTAACTGATTTAATCTATTTGCTGCTTTAATTCTCCTTTAAGCTCGACTTTAAACTCACAGCTTCACCGACTGACGTGTCTCAGATGAACGGATATTTGTGTCTGATATGTTGTGTTCTGTTTCTGTTTTAAAGGGATATTCTACCCTAAAATATAAAGATCATTGAGTGATTATTCTCCTGAGGAATGAGTTGCTTGTTTACAGTCTGAAAACGTTTCCTGGTTATTAGGACAGGATTCACGTCAGAGGCTCAATCAGAGACTGTTCCTTTGATTTGATGCTGGAAACAGGTGCTGATCATTATAGCAGCTGATGGATTATTGACTCGTTAGTTTAATCCTCCTGCAGGTACAGTTTGGTGCAAAGACAACGTCTCAGAACCAGCCGGATGCTCCTGAGTGACCAGCTCACAGTTCAATGCTTTAATTTGGTTCCATTATACTGAAGAGGAGATTAAGAAGTCCACAAACATCTGGATGGATGAACAGCACCACAGAGCAGAACCCTTTAACCTCGTTCTATTGGCTCCCGTCACATTTATAGTAGTTTAGATAAACAGTTCAGATGCTAAACTGTCTCTAATGTTGTTAAAAGTGTCCAAAGCTTGTTGGAAATAACCTGAAACTGGCCCAAAGTCACATTAAATCCTCCACAGTCACTCAGAAATCAGCCACAATAACTTCAGATTAGTTTAAAATGACCATGTTTGAGTTGCTACGAACGATTTGACTGATTTCAGGCGAGTGTTTTGTGATTTCGGACTGTTTTTTTTGTCCAGTTTTGAGTATTTATTCATTGATCCAGGAGGTTGGATTCTCCTTCAGTCTCTCTGAGGAAACTCTGGCTGCAGCTCAACCTCTCTGGATGTTTTGGTCTCGGCTGAGTCGCGGGTGCTTCAAGGACTCTGGTTTCGTAGTTTTTTACAGAATTTATTTTTTGCCTGTTTTCAAAAGAGACGCGTAGAATAAAGTGATCATCATGAAATATCTAAATTCTAAGCTCAGACTTTAACCAGAAGTTATAAAAATCTGTTCATTCTTTCTGTTTTTATAGTTTATGGTTCTGATGAATAAAAAAACAAGAACACGCCTTTTTGCCATTAATGACAAAGTAAACACAAGCTGCAACGTGACACATAAACTCTGACTTTTTGCTTCTCAGCTGTGATGAGAAGTCATTTAGATTTTTAGGTTCATTTATGACTCACAGCAGCAAAATCTGACAGTGAGTTCAGCTTGTACCGTGTCTGATTCTGATAAATGGTGTAATTTTGTTGATTTAAAAAAGTACAATCTGCTTTGTAAAGCTGCTGGCAGGTTTTCAGGGCTAATATCTGACATGTGCATTGGTTCTGATGGACCCGGCTGCATGAAACCGCCTCCTGAAGGACGAACGAGGAGAGAAAAGAGGATTTCATTGCATTTTATTTCACTACCCTGGAGAGGAAGGAGAACACACGGTGAGGACAGAAGGTACAGCAGTCAGGATAAATTAAAACAACAGAGACACAAGCGGACTGTGGGAGGATGCATGTTAGACAGGATGAGGGGACCGCCACCAGCTGCAGGACCAGAACCAGAACCAGAACCAAGCGCTCCCAGAGGCCCCGCGGAGGGGGGACATGACGGGGGTGTATGGACTGACGGACTGACTGACGGACGCAGACACCTCCCAACATCCCGTCCGTGGTTCTACCCTGTGGTAGAACAGCATGATGTCACCTACCATAGGGTAAAACCACTGACGTGACACCGGAGACAGAGACACAATGCAAAACCAAAACACAGCAACGGATGGAGACAACGCCACCAACGGAAACAAAAAAACAGGAAGGACAGATACAGAGGAGGAGGAGGAGGACGGGAGGATGGAGGGAGATGGGTGAGGAGGACAGGAGTGATGGAGGAGAGCAGCAGGTGACCTGGACACGCCTCTAGAGGAACCGACATAACAACAGCACGGCTTTCCTCTCATTTGTAGACGTCCTCAGCTTGGTTTGTTCTCCTGGACAAGGGCTTTACTTCAGCTGGAACTTCTCTCAGAGCAGCACAGCGATCTCCTTCTTGTCCTGGACAAAAGCTTCCGTCTACATGTGAAAAGCTGAGGCTCTTCTTCAGCTCATCCTGGAGAAACGACTCGTGGAAGAAGATTCCTTCGTCGGTAAAAAAGTCTTCTGCTTCAAAGCGAGCGGAGAAACTCGGCTTCGTCTTGCATCAGAATCCTTCAAAGAAGATGCTGTTCTGCTCTAAGCCGGGCACCCAGGCGCTGCAGCCCACAGACAAACTTCTGCATCGCTGTGGACGACGCTGCCACCGTGTGGTCACAGTGTACATTACACACTATAGTTTTCACAGAAACATGGAGGAGGAGGAGGAGGAGGAGGAGGAAGCTGCTACAGAGATACAGGATCGGCAGGAACAGACGAAACATCACCAACATTGAAATAAAGTGAAATAAAAACACACAGAGCAGGACAGAGTGTGGGGAGGAGCTGCAGACAGGTGAGCTGCTCACCTGGCGATGCCGCCGTAGTCCAGCCCTTCCTCTCCTCTCATGATGATGTAGAGGCGGCGGCGGAGATCGTATGGCTTCACATTCATGATCTGAGAGCAAAATGTCATCAATATTTATCAGAGATGCCGGAACCAGGAGCAGGAACAGAGCTGGTGAGCAGAAACGTGTTCTGTTGTGTCTCACAGATAAAAACGAGTCACGACAGAAACAGACTGAAGGTAAAAACTCTGCTGCTGCATCAAGACCTTCAAGTCAGTTCTTGTTTGAGCTGATAGTAATTATGTCTTTATCGCTCTGTACCTTATTCTACTAACGCTCATCTTTTCTTTGTGTGACATCTTCTACTGACTCGTGTCTTTACAGCGTTAAACATGAGTTTCAAGGAGTTTAAATTAACATTAAGACATTTTATTCTGAGCGTCTCAGTGACCTGCAAACCAGTTTGAACCTACAGCCGTCCTCAGATGTATTCAGTCAGGTGTTCCTGTAACTCTCAGTCAGACTTCTCACCTGTTGACAGGTGTTCTGGCCCACTGCTCATCAGCAAAGGCCTCTCATTGGTCCACCACAGGTTTTTTTATTTTTTTAAATTATTCTTTTCAACCACAATTCAAAAGCAACGTCTTATTTCACTAAACTATAATTGAACACATTTTCATTTTTAGACATTATATATATATATGTATGTATATATACGTGTGAGCCATATATTTAGACATCTGAGGACGACTGTAACTGTCAGTGACACCATTTAACTGTCACTAGACAGTAGAATAAGGTTGATGTGAAGCCATTTTTATCGTCATAGCCTGTACACGAGCATCAAAACATGTTGTGTTTGCTTTAAACTCAGAGGACTTTAGTTCCTCCATCTGTGTGTGTTCAGGGCAATAAGAGCAGAACTGGGTTTGGGTCCGACCTGCTGGAACGAGTCTTCAAACAGCGTCTGTCTGGACACGGAGATCTTCACGTGGCTCGGCAAGGCGTTGGACTGCAGCGAGACGGACACCAGTTAGAGGTCAGACGCTCTTCCACAGGTGTGAGTACAAAAGAGCTAACGGCTAACGGCTAGCAGCTAACGGCTAACAGCTAACACTCGTTCTAACAACGTGTTAAAGCTTCAGTCTAGTTCACAGAACAATTTCAATATTATTTATCATTTAAAATACTGTTGCTATGATGTTAACATTCAACTCAGACATAAACTACAACAGCTAGAGGACGGCATCAGGCCGTTTACTTTTGTCTACATTTTGTTTGTTGCGTCTGAGAACGTTTTAAAGAACACGTCGCAGAACCTTCTAGCAAAAAAGGTTCCCACCATGTCAGCAAAAGAAAAATCGGAAAACATTTTAAGAACATCAGGTGTAATGGAATTTGAACTGGTACCTGAATTCTTCAAAACACTGCAAGAAATACGTATAAATATGTAAATCTGGTACCAATGTCCAACAGTACCATAATGAATATACACTTTAGTTCTAATCTACTAATGAGCTGTGATTCTGGTCCTTTCTGTTGCAGCTACATTCTTCAGAAACATCTAATCGTGAAGCAGTTTCATATATTTTTATCGATCCAGTCGGTGCTTATATTAGCATTAGCATTAGCGTCTCTATGTTAGGAAAGCGCCACCTGTGAGAGTGTAAACAGGTTGAGAGCGTTAAACGTTAGCAGTGTGTGATGTCGTTTCATAAATCCAAATACATGCGCAGGTATTTAGTTAGCCTGATCAGAACTCAATCATTTATTGATTAGCCTGGCTAGCTGGCTATGCTAACATGTGTGTGCTAACTGGGTCTAACTCACAAATAAAACAACCAGACTGTACAGAAGGGAACAGCTCAGTTTCTCTGCATCTTCAACAAAGCTGGAAATAAAAACCTCCATGTGTGGATACTGATCAGTTCATATACGAGACAGAACCGGTGTCAGGCTGAAGAGCAGCTCACTGATGCGGTGTTAGCTGATGAATACCAACAGAACCGTCCTGTGGTTTGACACTAAATGTAGAAAATCATCTGTTTTTTTGTTTTAAACAGCAGAAACAGTCGGAGCTGCGTTCAACACTCACATGGCACAGGAAGCGGAACTGGTGGTATTTCCACCTGAAGCTGCGATCGTAGGCGCCGGGTGATCCGCCCTGCCGAGACCTGCACACAGAAACACAGAAAGCTGCTCAGCTCAGAGGCTTCAGGACGGAACAGCACCAACCCTGACATGAGGCGAACACTCTGAGACAAACTGCTGCTCTCAGCTCCTCAAACCCGCCGAACCCCAAAACCTGCCGACAAAATCACAAAAAATTCAGAGTTTTCTAACTGTCCCTGAACTACTCGTGTTTGTGTCCCGTCGGGAAAATCAACAAAATCTAAACCGTTTAATGGAAACCACTTAATTCAACATGTTTTATGTAAAACTTGTCAAACCAGATTCTTTAAACCATAAAATGACCCACAGAACTCCAGTGACACCGTTTATCAGACAGAAGCTGAAACACAGAAGAAGTTGTTGGATGTTGACGGTTCAGCGGAAAAGATGAACCAGATGTGAGCCTAAAGATTCCATCAGTAGTGCTTTGTTCTACACGTCCGGTTTAAAATTCTGCCAAAAATNGTTTCTGTGGTTTATGAGCTCTTTTTGCTCCTACTCCTGGTGGTGCTGTTTCCACAGAGGTGCAGGATTGTGAGGAACTAAAACGCCCAGAACCTGCTCGGTTGTTGTTGTTTTAGCTGCACAGGTGGTGAAAACCCTTAAAATCCAGTGTTTTCCAACTGAAAGCTGGTTCCCCTTCAAAGCCTTTCTCTAGTTTTGTGTGCTTTTTGCTGCCTGCTTCCCAGAGAAGCCATAAAGTGGAGCTTTATCCTGCGAATGTCAGCGTCACTTTAAAGAGCGTTTCTCTCGCTCTCAGAAGAAAAAAGGGAAAAGTGCCCATTTAAAGCAGCTCTGTCATGGAAACTGTGAGGGAGTCGGATGGAAAGGGCTGCAGCCCAGAGAGTGGGCACAGAGCAGGGTTAAAGGGTGGTGTGTCGCCGCCGTCCACAGCCAATCTGTGCCCCGGAGCCCCACCCTTATGGGCTCGCTGTGACTAAAAAAGGTAAAAGGAGAATATAATGATATAAAGACATGATGACTTCATCCTGGCTCGGACCATTCAGCTCCTCGGCAGGAAAAGAAAAAGGGAGTCTGAGAAAACAAGGGAGGGAGAGGAAGCGGAGGGAAAGCAGCGTGTTGGCAGCGACGTGTGAAGTAAAGGTTGGGTGTTATGGATCTGGACGGAGGACGCCATAAAGGCTCGCTTCAAGGCCGCGGCGCAGGTGAAAACGCCGACTTCAGCCGCTCGCCTCTGACGTCAGACGCGAGCTATTGGTGAAGGTTTAGTTCTTACGCTGGTTTCCACAGAGCGGGGAGGAGGTCACGGAGTTCATGGGCCATTCACATGGCGGGGGAAACTGCTGGCTCATCTGTGTTTCAATCAGAACCCACGTCCAGCTCAGCGTCGGCCGCGAGGCGCAGCTTCATCTGCAGGCAGCGTAACGAGACCAACGTCCTGCTGCCGACAGCGCGTCCACATTAAAGACAGACACAGCACCAACAGACTTCATCTGACCCAGTGGGTCCGAGCTGGTCCTCGGCTCAGATCACATGTTCCTCCTGAACTTTGAACCATAGTTTAAGTCACGTGTGCAGCGAGCAGCTCTGTGATCAAAAGGCATGGCTTCTCTTTTTATTAAGCCACCAAAACTACAGCATGAATCAGAAAGAAAGAAAGAAAGAAAGAAAGAAAGAAAGAAAGAAAGAAAGAAAGAAAGAAAGAAAGAAGAAAAAAAAAGTTGGAGTTTCCATTTTCCGACGGTCCTTGAACCTAACATTTAGGACGCATACTTCACCTAAATCACTTTTTTCCTTCATCTTATTTAATAAAACTTTAGATATACCCTGACAGGAACCTTCTGGAGACACAACACCAGCCTCAGCAGAAACTTTTGCACTTTTTTCCATTTTTATTGGCCAGTAATCGTTAAGATTTGTTGTTTTTGGATCATCGTGAGTCATTCTGGATCATCTTTATCTTCTGTCAAACAAACTTTGAGTCACTTTGGACAAGATTTAAGTAATTTCAGATAAGATTCAAGTTATCTTTGGTGAGATGTGACCAGAGACTGGGTTCTAGTAGAACCATGGATCCATCCANAGAGCACAGCCAGGACCTTCCTGATAGAGCACAGCCAGGACCTTCCAGGAGCCTACAATACGTGCACACATGAGCAGGAGAAGCGGCGCACACGGAGAGGCCGTCGGCGGCAGCAAATGCACACCCGCATGCCGAGCGTCAACACACAAGAGGCACAAACAGCCACACGCATGCCAGCAGCCGTCTGCAGCACATCTGGAGCTGCACATCTGCACATCTGCACATTGTCCTGCGGTGGGATCTGAGACTGCTTCAGGGCAAGAAGGCAAACATCCACAGGCTGAGGGGAAGAGCTGAGTGAGTGTGATCACAGAGGAGCTTCTGGTAAGAAATACTACATAGGCACAGAATGAAAGAGAATGGGTGAAACAGATCGAGATCAAGCTATTAATTAAAATTATTAATTTGCAGGATGGAGGGGCCTGTGTGAGGTCATATTTGCACTGCAGGAGGAACAAGCTCATCTTGAAGTGTTTCTGATTGGAGTGATGATTGGATCTACGTAAAGCAGGTCTGGGAGGAAGGGCTGAGAGAATATTTACCCTGACTCAAACCCGGGTCGGGGGTCTTTAAAGGTGGTGGTGCGCGAGTTGTGGTCCACAAAATATCGGACTCCCTCGGCGGTGTACTTCATCTCCCAGCCCGGGGGCAGGGGGTGCTCCTTGATCATCCTGCAACAGGGGAGAGGGCAGTGAGCACGGTCCCAGCCGGAGGGCCCCGTCCTGGGGATGAGACTAACAAACCTCCCCCCGCCAACCTGTGGAGCTAAAGGCCTGCTGCTGCTACAGAGCCCAGCCTCGCCGGAGTTTAGCTCCTCTGGAGGTTGAAGAGGTGATTATTCAGAGCTAGCGGACAGCACAGTCACAGACGGAGACGCTTCTCGTGTCTGACTTTCTGCTCATCTAACCGTCACAGCCTCTAAGCGCTGCTCTTACAGACGTGTCCTGGACACTTTCTAAGCGTCTGAGTGGATCCGTCTGCGGCACTTTAACCCTCTGAAGCCCAAACAGGCCTGAACAGCAGCTCGCCTTCATTTACTTTATTAAAACGACACCAGAATCTGTAAAAGAATCTTTCTGACAAAACGAACCAAACCTGAGCTCAATGTTGTGATATTTTACCAAAGTCTCTTCATTCTACGTCTCATTGTGAAAAAACAAACCGTTTGTTCGAAGCTCATTCTGTCAAATAAAATAATTCTGCTGCGTTTGGTTCGAACGTGAAGCGACGCCGCTGTGATCACGATTCATCAGCTAAGAACAGAACGAACTGTGTGTGGTGCAGAGTTCAAGATGAACCCAGTCGGAGCTGAAAAACGTTCATTCGACGTCCCCAAAAACCTCAAACTAGATTCTGTAAAAACATTAAAATGTTGAGCTGCCAGATGCAGACGTGAAGCGACTCGGCTCAGACCGACGGGGATGTGAGAAAAACTGTTTGGACGAAAATGGAATCAAATTAAAAGTCTGAGTCGTTAAACATGCAGAGCCACGGGCTGGTAGCACGCTTAAAGTTTATTCTAATCTGAAAAATAACTTGTAAATTAATTAAAATTAATCTTAATTTGTAAAACAAATTATCAAGAAATGTGACTTTTGCTGTTTGTTTTTATGATTCCTGTTGTTCTGGGTTCTGTGTCCTCCTTCATGTGGTTCTGGTTCCACAGAGCTGCAGGACTTCAGTGAAACATGAAGCTCAGTCACAGGAGCTCAGAGGGTTAAAGCGACACGCTGCGCAGATCAGGAGTGAACGTGTGTCATTTTGGATATTATCGATGTTAATGTTTCCACCCAGATGGTTAGAAGAGCATCTAAACGTCGTGTAAACACCTCCAGAGCATCTCCAGAAGATGTTCTGAACGTCAAAGAGTCAATAAAATAAAAGCAGCCTGACGTGTGTGAGCTTCACTGTTGATGAGCGAGGCCAGAGCGAAGTCATTCAACAGCTCTGGAAGGGTTTAGAGGTCAGACAGGCTGCTGCAGGGTGAACAGAAACAAACTCCACGCTGTCTGGTTGGGTTTAGACGGACATGCAGGAGGACCTGTCTGGGCGTGAGAGCGTCAGAGCTGCTCCTGTCGTGACTCGCGGTGCCGTCACTCCGGCGTGACTCCGTCCTGAGCAAACACCCAAAGCGACGCACCGTCTGACAAGCAGGCACACTCATGCACGCTCACAGCCACGCGGCCACACCGGGGGGGAGGCGTTTCAGCGGCTCGGTTCTCACCCTTGGGTCCGCGGGTCGTCCCACTGGGTCGTCCTGGTGTTGTGGTTGACGAAGTACACCCTGCCGTTGTCCTGCCGCTTCTCTGTGGACACAAACAGCAAAGACAAGAGCGGTGAGGGTCGGCTGTGGAGGCCTGACGGGATCACCTGAGTGCAAGAATGTCGCCGCCGCCAGAGAAACCCGGCGGGTCGGTGCGGTATTTCACTGCAGCTCGTCCGAGGTAAAGGTGAGGGTCAACGGGCGATTTAACAAAAACCCAGCGCGACGAGTGAGACGGAGTGAGCGTGCCCAGAGGCCTCAGAGGAGGCCGCCGCCGCCTCCTCCTCCTCCTCCTCCTCCTCGCCGCCGCCGTCGTCGCTCTCACATCTTTTTCTCATTAACGGCCGAGTGTGGAGGCCCAGAAACAGTAGTGCTCACATTGCAGCTCTTCTGCTCTCCTCCCCCACTCCTCTACCCCTCTGCTGCCCCCTTCGTTCTCCTCCTCCAGCTTTCCATCTTTTTTTTTTTTTTGCAAAAAGCGAGGGAAGCGACCGCAGATGATGAAAACGAAGCCAGAGCAGCCGGAGCGGCCGAGCCAGAGATATAATTGAGGTTTTTTCGTCTTGAGGCACCGCAACATGTTGAAAAAGCATCACGGGCAGCGGGGAGGTTTTTTCTGTGTGATGCAGTCGTTTATGAATGAATGATCCCCGCGTGGATCCGATTACGCTTCTTGAGAAAACGTCGCCACCGCCTCTGTAATTTGCAGGACTTCAGAGCGAAACAGGGGAAAGTGATAAACGAGCAGCGAGGGAAGCGAGAGGAGACATAAATCAATCAATTAACCAGAGATGGGCTCACGGAGGCAGAAAAGTCAGACGCAGAATTCAAAGCACATCCAGGAGCAGCAGAGGGAGGAACCGACAAGTTTTTAGGTCTCTGAGCGGCGAGCTAGAATCTAAGATAACACATCAACGGCGTGTAAAGCGTTCAGTGGAGAGGTCCTCAACGTGCACAAGACATCATCAGATACATTCTGTTGTTTTTTTATTTATGTTAGTTTAACTGTGTTGTTCTGGTTCCTCAGAGCTGCAGGACTTCATGCTGCCGTGAAAAATGAACCACAGCGAGTTAGAATGAGACAGAAGCTAACGTGGCTGCAGCACCTAGAAGCAGCACCTGAAGGATCCGACCCGGAGCAGCACAGTGAGTCTTTGTTCTGCAGCCTCCTTTACTTCATATTACTGGCTCCGGTTCCAGGTGTTCAAGGAGAACGCTGGTGTATTTTCACAGCCGTGTGGTAAACATGAGCCGACGTCTCGCTCTTCCCGGCCGGACAGTTAGCGTGAGCGCCCTGCAGCTCTCCAGAGAAAACACAAATCACTGTTTGTTTTCACTCTGACAGAAATTAGCTGGAAAGTGGTGGAAGATCTCCGACTCATTCTGGTAAAAAATAAACCGTTTGTTCTCGACTCATTGTGTAAAAAACTAAAAAGTTCTTCGGCTGAGGAGCCTCGACCGGCTCGGCTGTTTCTGATTCACCGTCTGAAGCCCAAAGTCTTCAAAAGGCGTGTTTTTAAAAAGTTAACAAATTTCCAGAATTGAATTTTTTATCAGAGCCGGAAATAGCCGTCAGATATTTAACCTTCTGACGGTCCTTGAACCCAACACGTGGGACGTACGCGTCAGGAGAAACTTTCTCATCAACCACGAGTCGTTTTGAGAAGTTTCGCGTCATTTTGGAGCGTTTTGGAATTTTCTTTTGAGCAGTTTTTAGCAACTGAGAGGCTGTTTTTACAACTAAATAAATAAACAAACATATTTTAATTTTAGGATGAACTAATTGTCAGATATTTAACTTTCCGTCGGTCCTTGAACCCAACATGAATGGCTCAGTCGGGAAAAAGTTTAAAGCCGACAGACGATGAGACGTCTTGGACGAGTTGTGGAACCGTCTTATGGAGGTTTTTAGTTATTCTGGAGGATTTTAAACGAATTTTCAGCAAGTTTCGAGTCGTTCTCGACACATTACGAGACGTTCTGTGGAGGTTTTCAGTCACGTTTGACAATTCTAGCAAAACTTGGACAAGTTTCAAGTCATTTCAGAGCATTTTTGAATCTTGCTTGGACCCATTTTGAGCAAGTTTCAAGACAAATCAGAGTCAAAAATGATATGCAGATATGCTCCGTGCTGACGGTCCTTGAACCCAACATGTGCGATGCAAAGTCCAGTCAGGAGGAAGTTTCAAGTCGACAGATTACGAGACATTTTGGACGAGTCTTGGAATCGCTCTGTGGAGGTTTTAAGTCATTTTTGATGCTTTTAGCTAATTTTCGACGAGTTTGGAGTCATTTCAGACCATTTTTGAATCTTTGAATCGAAGCCAACAATGACATTCAGATATTCAACGGTCCTTGAACCCAACGTGTGTGAAGTTCGGCTCAGTCAGCAGAACGTCCTTCTCGACTCATCCTGGGACATTCGGAGGTTTTTAGTCGTCTTTGAGGGTTTTAACTCATTCTGGAAACCTTTCAAGTCATTTCAAACCCATTTCGTGCAGTCTGTAACACCTGAGAGCCGTTCTATTTCCCCTGGGGGGTGTTTCTCGGTGAACTTACCCCATCCGGGAGGCAGCGGGCCCAGCGGGTCATTTTCCACCGGCGCTCCGGACGGCTGAGGGGGAAACAGACAGAGACAAAACAAATCCGGTTAGGACACCTTTCCCTCGCGTCTGGCCGCAGGAGGAGGAGGAGGAGGAGGCGTGAGAAGAAAAAAGCAGCGGCTGTGTGCTGCGCTGGGGCGGCTGCAGCGCGTGGAGCCGGACCGGGTCGCTCCTCTCTGCTGCAGCACCGAGGGCGACTGAGGGAGCTGGCCGGCCCGCCGCCTCCAAAAACTACACGCTCAGTAGGAGGATAAAACAACAACGCTGTTCCAATGAGCTCACTGGCTGGACGGAGGCCCCACCTCCCCTCGGCTTCCCGCTCACCTCCTCAAATACCCCCCC